TAACAGTTTTGTATTCCAAAGCATAAACAGTTTATTAGCTCAGTATGTCCTTAATAGTTGAACATCGGTTTTGTAATTATGCTGTATTGTCCTGAGACAAAAAATACAGGATTTTGGTAGTTTGTCATGGCAAAATCAGCTGCCATTATATTAAGTAACGATTGTTTTGGCTTGGTTACGAAGTTTTTGTTAGCACTGCTTAGTTACAGAGTTGAGAGTAACCTACTCCACATACTACTGACCTGAAGTCGAATAGTTTGTGAATGTTACTTTTGTGACTCAGAAGCATGCTAGAAACTACGTATTTATAAAATGTGGGTTACAAATGGTAAATCAAACTACAGCATTAATCAGTCTTAATTGTGTGTATACCAACACACTTAAATATATTTAAAATATTTGCCTTTCATTGACTGTAATAAAGTATAGTAGGCATTGTAAAAAATTGCAAGAGTGTTGGCATTGCATGATGGTCTGCTTTTTAAATCTCTCATTTAAGCTATTCTCTTACAAAAGTTATTTACCTCTATTCAGCAATGATAAAGTAAAAACAGTAGAACAAGTGGTTTGCAAAAATCCCTGCACAAGCACTTAATATTGTCACATTTTCCTGCCAAATTTTGTCTTTGCAATTGCCACTCTATTCAGCACTGATAAAGTAAAAACAGTAGAACAACAAGTGGTTTGCAAAAATCCCTGTATAAGCACTTAATATTGTCACGTTTTCCTGCCAAATTTTGTCTTTGCAATTGCCCTCTCTATTATTTTGAGATTAAAGAGAGCAGCTCCTTCTTGTTATTCATTTTGGAAAATCTGTAAGACAGTGTCAGGGGAGATCCAAATTCCTCAATTTAGCTATACAGGTAAAGGATGAAGTGAAACAAAAACCATGTTAAGTAATATTTACAGTAGATGATGTGTCTTTCTCATTGCCTTGAGATGACTGCTGTCTTTCATCATATTAACCGCATTTGTTGTATTTAGATGCAAAGTCACCTCATCCTAACAGAGAGGAAAATGAAAGATGAAAGTCCTTTAACTGCTGCTTGTAGGAGTACAGGGTAAGACTAAAATTTTGATTGTCATGAAACTTTCATTTGGGCCTATTAATCAAGCTTGAAATTGGCCTCTTCAGTAGATGAACAGTACCAGAGGGTGATTTTTATCTTTCAGTAATACCTTTCAATGATTACTGCAAAGGGAGGAGGATAGAGCTAAGCAGTACCCTTCTGAAAGGAATTTAGAAAATCTCTTTGGTAATTTGAGCTGTTGAGAACATTTACTTAGTTCTACGTGTTTCTGGAACAGTCTAAAGCATAAAAACTCTGCAGGCATATAACAACAACAAAAAAAACCTTTTCAGAATTGCGTGCACAAACGCAGGCATATAACAACAACAAAAAAAAACCTTTTCAGAATTGCGTGCACGAACTGCAAGCAATGAGTTGGGCCTAGTTCCAGGAAGGTGAAAGAGGACTTCACCAAGTGGGAAGTGATCAAAAGTAGTTGGGTGTTTCTGGCATTTTATAAGGTGACGAAGAAACTGACAGAACTGAAGTGGTTTTGAAATGTTATTTGCAAATTTTGATTTATGTTAATAAAGCATTATTGGCACAAACATTTTGAGATCTCTGATAGGCAAATTGGGCAAAGCATTATCTAGAAAAAGGTCAATTTTACCCAAAATACACACACAAGATGGTTAATTTGTGAACAGGTTTTTTTCCTTCTAAGCGACTCCAATTCATTTTAGTCTGGTTTTGCATGTGTTAACAAAATCTGACTCACTGTGTAATAGTGGCTCACCCTTCTCCTGCTCATTGGTGTGTGTAACTGCTGTGGCTATTTTGAAGCAATGTGCATGCTGGCTGGCTGGCTAGCTGCTGCTACCAATGAAAAATCTGCAATAGCCAAGTGCTACCTGCCTTCCCTCCATTTGATTCAGAAATGAATCTCTTAAAAACTGTCCAGTGTCCAATTTTCATGTAACTTACAGTTAATTGTATAAGATTTGCTTTTTATCCTGTAGATTTTATAAAAAGAAATATGTTCTAAAACTTGTCCTTCTTTATACTAGGATAGATCATTTTGCAAAATAAAATAAAAATTGAATATTCCCTGCAAGCTGAAGTAGAATTTCATTTTCTGTTTAAAAAATCAGTTTATACAAGATAGTTTTGAAAACTGTCTTGTTAGAACATGTTTTGATTCTTTAATCAGAAAATCAAGATAGTTAAGTTGTGAATGGCAACAAACTTTTAAGTTTCTAGCTGTAGTGAGAACAGTTACAATCAAAACATAACATTTAAGTTCCCTTTTCCAGCAGTTCAGCCCATACACAGTGAACTCCTCTGGATCCACCGTTGTCCTGAAGGCCACCTTGGACTCCTACAGATCCAATGGGAAGTTTGGGGACTAAGGCTTCCTTGTGATTTCTTAGGGAGACAAATTCTTCATGGAAATTTTTCAACTGCCTATTATTTTCAGTACTTCATGTTGGATGTCGTCTTCATTCTGGTTGCAGCAAATAATAGTCATAAACTGTGCCGCTGCATTGCATTTTCAGAATTTGGAACAATTTTTATGCAGATACACACCCATGAATATTAATTTGTCTTAGGAAGAAATATTACAGATTCAGGATATCTCATTTTGTTTGTTTTCAGAATATGAACTGTTATGACACTGGGATTTATAGAAATTATTGAGTAGCCCACTGAGTCAAACCAGTGTACTAAGCCCTGTATAAACACATAGGTAAAAAGGGCCCGCTAGTTACCTTAACATCTGAGGACAAAAAAAGGTGTAGTTCAGTTAAGATAGATCATGTTTTTTAATAAATCTAGCGGTGTAGAAGAGATGCAGGATAAAAGGAGAGACGAAATAAAAACTTGGAGCGCACGAAAAGCAGCGGCAAAAAGAGGCGGTCACTGCACAAAGCCTGATTGTGCAGCTGAACCAGTGAATGTAAACCAGAGAAGTCAAAGTTGTCTGTTTTAGTTATATGTGGGTTTGAATACTGAGGCCATCAAAGCTCGTAGGCTACTAGGGAATCTTTCCCATAGTGTTCTGCTTTTATGCCCTACTTTGCCAATGCTAACCTATGACATAGTTTAGGAAAGCATGTCTGTGAAAAATTAATGTCACGTGTCATCATATTGCAAATCTATTTAACTTTCAACCTCTCTTCCCCCCCCCGCCCCATTTTGTTTTGTAGAAGCAAAGGAAGAATGGAGTCGACAAAGGTTAGTGAGCCGTCATTGTTGGTATTCCAACCCCAATGAGCCTAGGTGCTTTGGGATTAAAAAATTAATAACACGAATGGGAGAAACATCCAAAACCTAGATTTTTTAGAGCTGATTGTGTGATAATATGTTAAGGCTTCTCCTATCTACTGCCTCTTGTTCTTTTAACACTTTATTATTTCTATTTTCTGAACAGTAATCAGTGTAAACTACATAGTTACTCGTGAAACATTACAAATCTGAATTTTTCCAGAGATACAGAAGTGCCACATCTGCATTACAAATTTTACCCTTATAGTAGAGTCATGCTAAATTAATTGCATTGTTATAGGTATGATTAATGCTCAGACTTGTGGATGGCTGCTGGCAAAACATAGAAAACTATTTACTTAAATATTAAAGCATGCACATTCCTTGCCAAAAGTATGATAATCATATCAACTTCCCTAGCGTGGTGTCACTGTTAATGATTAGCTTCATATTTACTAAGGCACTGGAGGATGCAGAGATCTGCTTCTGTAAATCTCACTAAGACTGTAAATGAGTGAAATGGTAATTCCCATTGACTTTTGCACCTGGCTTCGTTTAAACCTCTTTTAAATCCTTCTGGATGTGTATCTGCATCTTTAAAGTGTTCATAATTTTAAAATCTATATTTATATCACAAATGTAGGTTTCAGAATTTCCAGCTGTGAATGTTTTTCTGCTGAACAGGGGGCTTCTTTCTTCAGCTATGCTCTGAAGTGTTTTTATTTCATCAGTTTTGAGCTGTATTCTTTCTTTCTGTAGTCATACCTGGTTGTGTTTGTTTAGGGAAGAAGAAAACATACACCAATACAGTAATATAAATATGATAACATACACAGTGTTACTGCTTGCAAGCTTCGATCATGGTTTTGGAGCCCTGGTGTATTACAGAATGAAAAAAACCCTCTATACATCAAAGAATTTCATGTGGTTGTACAACATGAAACAAGTGGAGGAAAACAAAAAGGAAGACAAAGTAGCAAAGAGATGGCACATCCCTTCCCTCACTCCCTCAGGAATGGTGATAAAGTGTTGAGAAAATTAGCAGGCCTTTTATCTCTGAGGTTGTGTGATATGTTGTTCATGGCCATGAGCTGTACTAGGTGTATCAGTCTGGCTTGATGAGAATGGCAACTCCTTTGTGGAAGAGCACAGCTGAGTGTCTTTGAGGGAGATGAATGCGATTAAACTTGATGGGTCTAATCCAGTGTGTACGAGCGCACTGAAGAAAGATTAAAGAAAAGAGTTGACATTATTACAGAAACTAATCCAAGGTAATTTATTTTCTGCTACAGTCCAAACTAGTAGTTTTGCTTTATTCCCCAGGGATTTCTGTGTATGTTTCTTGGTAGAGGCTTATTTTACTAGGTGGTCACCTATTTAGGAAGCTGTTGGTTTTTTACATTTTTTTTCTATTTAGAATGGGTAGGAGCTGAAATTGTAATTTATCTCAGCCTGGAAACCAATGCTGACATAGAAGAGCATGAAGTGAAGACATCTTGTCTCTGTCTCCATTGGAATACCTTGTTTCAACAGAAGTCATTCTCTGGGGGAGATCTGCATTTTATAATGCATACCTAAATGCAGTTTTGCTTCAGTCCTGTGTGGGAGCTGATGGAATAAAAATCTCCTGTTCTGTCCCCTGCCATGTACGCTCCCAGTACTACCTAAACACAATCTGGTTCTGAAGATGTTAAATTTCATCATTTTGTAGTCACTATCAATTGAAAAAAAGTTTCTGTTTAATGAAACTCCTATCAAGACCTCAGGTCTGAATTTTCATATTGAAAGATTTAAGTAACAAAGGCCAAGAAATCCAGTGCATTTCTGCTGTACTGTAGAAGAGCAGAACCACACAAAAATGAGTAAGCTTACTATAAAGAGTCTAAAAGGCACAGCTAAAAGAGTTCTACCAGTGGTGTGAAGCAGACTGTCCTAGAAGCACAGAGGCAATGCTTGCCATCTATCAGTAAGGCTTGCAAAAGGGTGAAAGGAAGTCAGTATGGTGATTGCTGGGGATGAGAAACCATTATTCAGAAAGCTGAAGTTATGTCCAAGTGCAGGAGTTCAAAAGGACCTTTCATCTTGGCAGGTTAGAAGTAAAAGCACAAATGGGCAAGCCAGAAAGTGACTTTGAGGAACAGGTAGAAATGTCTGAGTAGGCATGGACTCTTCAACCTGGTAGAGAGACCATGGAGGTGAGATACGTTAGAAATCTGCAAAATCATGAGTGGCACAGAGAAGATTAATAGCTGTTGCTTTTTTTCACCATTTCTTCCAAAACAAAAGCAAGTGGGCGTGTGATGCAACAGGAGTCTAGAAACCAGTGTGGTTCTTTGCATAAGAAACACCCAAAGACTCCCTTTGGGTTAAAGTTTACATGGATTGAAGGAGTGACTGGATAAGTTTGTAGAAGAGGGACCTTTTGAATGTTGCTAAATAGATAGAAACTGCCGGAAATAACCTGACCTGAAAATAGTGGGAGGCCGTGGGATTGTTGAGAGGGAGTATCTTGTGGGCTGATATACTTTAGCACTGGTGTTGGTGGCTGAACTTGCAGATGAAAGTGGTGACTGGTAGTAAAGCGACTGTTTATCCTATTTTTCAGTAAGAGTCAGTTAGTCTGGGAATAACATATTTGGAATAAATGCCCTTGAGCAGCTTGATCAAGCAAAAAAACACTGAAGCAAAAATGTTCAAAAAATGCAATGTCTAATGGATTTGTTTTCATGCTGTCTTTGCAGGAATCTCGTGATCACGTTCTTTTGGATATTCCTGTCACTAGAGAGCAGATGAATCACTATCGAGCTGCAGCTGAAACTGCTCAGAGTGAACTTGCAGCACTTTCAGTGAAGTATGATTGTGCCCAATCAGAGGTACATTTAAAAATACTTCCAAGTCCTTCTCCAAACCTGAGGATTCTCTACAGTCACTTTCTGCAGAGAATAGAAAGTTTGCAGAAAGTTCAAAAGTTCTTGCTTTTGATAAAGAGCTTTTGTTTCTCATAACATGGAATTTCCATACGATTTTTTTCCTGCTTGCTTCTGTGTTCAAGAACTGATTATGATCTTATATTTGAAAGGTTTGAAGCAGTCTAGGTCTTTTTTGTCATCATCTAAATGCAATCTTTTGTAATTAAACCTGAAACTTAATATTTCTAAATTGTGGTTATACAAAAGTTTTGATAGATGTCCTCCTGTTGCTGGTGAGTTAAGATATAACTGCCCATCCTTACCTATTTCTCCACTTTATTCAAGTTGCAGCTTCCCAAATTTGCTTTGCTTTCATCATGAGTGAAGTTGTGATTGAGCTAATGAGGTTGATTATAACTAGAGAGGCTGAAGAACACATGCATCCTTTTCTGCTGTCCCTGCTATGGGAACGGTTGTTCTTAGGAGAGAGGATTTATTAGAGGATAATTTTTAGAGTTTCTATATTTTCACACTTAATTTTTTTCTTTTTTTTAACATATGACTGAATAAGATTGATTTGATCCAATTCAGCAATGTGGGCAGTGGTCAGTTTTAAAATGGAGTCAAATTTGCCTTTAGGAGACATGAAGTGCTTACATTTATTTGCAGACATGTATTTAGGTGTATACATTCCTAAATATTCATAGCTACATCAGGTTCGACAGAAACCTGTTGAACACTCATCCAACTAGTATTTTAAACATCTTTACATTTTACAAATGTGTATTTCTATTGCACATTGTAAAGTACTTTGTAATATACTTGCATAGCACATGAACATTAAAAAAGGGTCTATCAATGAAATAAATCTTATTTAATTGTGGATATCTGAATATGGGAAACCGCAAGAACATGTAATATTGTACGAGAATGAATTGTTAATACAGTATCCAGTCAGAACTACAGGGGTAAATGTCCATTGTTGAAGCTTGAATTTGACCAGTTGATCCTGAAATTACTGCAGAGATCCCCTACATTTAATGGCTATCTAGCATCAGTACGTTAAATTTCAATTCTTAAAAGCCATACAGAATCTCATGTTCTCATAGAAAGAATTTATTACTGGAAATGTTGAACCATTTATGGCCAGCATGACTGACTGATTTATAGATTCTTTCAGCACTGTGCTTCCAAAAGCGAAAGAATCATCAAGAAAGCAGCTGTTCATGCTCTTGTTAATAAAGACCTTCATGACCTAGCTGAGGTCAGAGCCCTGTTCTACTGAGGGCTCTGTAAAACTCATGATATGGGATTATTCTTGCTTTTTCTGCTATTGGAACTGACCACAAAGACAATGGAGAGAGGAAAAAATATCACATTTTGCAGATGGGGAGTTGAACCACAGAAAAATTTTAAGGTTGTGAACGCTTTAAGCTACCATAGCTGGGTCCAGCTGCCAAGCAAAGCAATCCTATTGTTCCTCCAGCTGCTCATTTCCGTCCCCACACTGCCCCATCCCTTGTGTTGGCACAGATGTATGTGTAGTTTTATGTGCACTGTGTTGTTGGGGGACTGATGCAATTCAAATATAAAGCCTGTCCTTCTGGGTTGTTTTTTTTTAGCTGGATCAGTTTCCCAATCTTATTTCACCTCTTAGCCATATAAGTGCTTCTGCTAGCACAGCAAAGAGGGTGGAGTATAGAAATGAAGGCCATGAGCCCGGGAAAAGGCAGAGCTGCTTCTCTCAAAATCAGTGCTGCTTTATGTCAACTCCAAAGTGTCTGATAAACCAGTGCTTGCAGGTGAAGCATAAGCTCATCAGAGACTATGTTGCTGCTGCAAGAGTGATCCTTCCTACCTGACTCGTCAGTGTTAGCCTTTTCTCTGTGACCAGCTCCCCTTCCTCCTCCTCCTCTGTAGAAAGTGAATTCTTTTCTGTCAGCTGCATTAGTTAAGTTGTTTGTGGAGGAGTCAGACAAATACCAGAGCTGGTGCAAGGGAGGCTGGGAGCAGGAGAAGCAGGGCCTCTCTTTTCCAAGGCAGTCACAGTTCAGTTGGCTCACTGGCCTCCTGGAATTTCTCTGAGTGTTTTGGGTTTGGTCACTCTGGAAGCCTCTGGCAGAGCCGTGAATTTCCTGACATCCTGAATTGCAACTTAATGTTTTAAGTATTTATTGCCTTAAAATATTTGCCACAAGTTAAAAGCCCTAGCACACATCTTGAAGAGCAGTTAATGTGGCTTAATTATTTGCCTGTTAATTTTATGTAATAGGAGATAAATGCTTCAGATAATATCTTACTACTTACAATTGGAATTGTCAGGAAAACTGGAACATGTCTTAACACTTCTTGTGACAAAAAATCCACCTTAAACTACTTGCTCCTTTTAACAAAATAAAACACACTGAAATTTTCTGTGCCTGTGTGTCTGTCTCAAGCTCAGTATTTTAGAGAAGGTTGTAGTAGAAATAGTTCAATGGAAAATGGCATTTTTAGTGAAAAGAGGGAGGGGAAAGTAAAGAAAAACAACTGAACCCCATGAAATGTTGGGAAGCTCTAGCATCATCTCTGGAACAGGTCCTTGATCTTTGGTGGTGATGTCCCTCGTCCCTCCCTTCCTTAAAAGGCTCTCTTGCTGTTTCTGTGTAAATACAGCTACATTTGACTGGATTATCAGACCAAAAAATAACTATTTGCATAAGCTGAGAAGAGGTTGCCTACATCACAGCTTTCCAAAAATTTCTTTGGCTCTGAATATACTGCAAAAGATCAAAAGGCTCCACTCTCATACAACAGGATACTGCTGTTACAACTCCCCACAGCTGTAGAGTATCTGTGGAATTGTGCACCAGAATTGGGAGCAGGGAGGAGGCAGGCAAAAAAGAAGGAATAGTGGTGTTGACGCTATTGTAATGCAGGTGCATAAGGGAGGTGAGTTCAGGCTGTGCAGCAGAACTTAAGGTGGGCTTTCCCTAAATTCCGAATTTGTAAATAAATTTATCTTCCTGTAAGACATTATCTTGAAAACTCATATTGCATTACACAAGAGCAGCTTTTGGTTTTACCCTTTCATCCATTGCTTTTTCCTAGTTACATGAGAATAAAGTTGCATCTCTCCACTCAGTCTTGTAGTGATAGAAGACTGAGTCTTTTTTTCCAAAATGAGTTTCTTGTAACATTACTAAACTTGTAGTGCAGTCACATATTTCATCCTGGGCAAAATTATTCTTCCTTTTTTTAATGAGTTTTCTCATCTTCTGTCTATAGCTTCTTGAACTCAGGTCCAGAATGGTCTCTAAAGAAGCCTCTTTTCAAGAGCTGAAGGCTGAAGCTGAAAGCTACAAGGAAAACAATGCTAGACAGATGTCTCGCCTCCTGTCTTTGCAAACACGAATTCAGGAGATGGAGGAAGAGGCATGTGTGCTCGCCAGTTCTAAAAACCAGGCTGAGCTGACAGCTCAGGCAGCATTCAAGGAAAACTGGGAGCTGAAGGAGGACCTTCATGAGCAAAATGCCAAACTTAAGTAAGATTTGTGTGACACGAGAAACAATTTTTGTTTGGGATGACAGAATGGTGCAGTTGTCAACGCAGAAAAATACATTGGTGGACAGACATTATTGCAGATGTGAATTCTGTTACAATGCCTTGCACAGCCATTGTGCCTCAGTGTGTGGAAGGTATTGAAATTTGAATTTTGGTGTGAGTTGCTAGCCCATAAATGGGGTTTTGAGAATTCTGTCCTTCAGAGGAGAAAAAATGATATGAGTCAGCTTGGAGTAACCTCATTGTTTACAAAAAGTGAGCACAGAGGGCTGTTTGTCTGAACACAGTAGAAACAATACATACAGTTTCCTCATTCAGGTATTTCCATGTATGGCACTGAGGCAAACTTTGTGCCTTTCATAGCACACTTATGATGGGCAGTACCTGCAACTATGGCCTAGTGCCCTGGTCTATCCTTGTCACATGGCATCTCTTGCAGACAAGTACCTGGCACTTGACATGCTGCATGGGCTGTGCAGTGGCGAGTGACTGTGCTGCTGCACCACTCCGGTCTCTTTTCCCTTCTTCTATGTCACAGCTGGAACCAGAAGAGTGTCAAGTGAGTTTCTTCCTTAGTGTAAAGCTGTCCATTAGGAGCAGTGTAATAAAGAAAATATGGTATAATTCCTAGTTAGTAGCATCCTGAAGGGAGCATGTTAATGTTTGTTCAGCTTTGACCGACTTTTCTTCTGTTTTCTTCTGGACATTGCTTTGTGGTGTTTTGGGGGTGTGTGTGTTGTTTTTTTTTTAAAGTGTACTGATTGCATAAAACTTTTAATAAAAGATAGTATCCTTAACTATACCATTCTTAGCATAGTGTATAGAAGCACTGATCTGTCAGTTCTGCGTAACTGCTACTATTTCAGGTCTGTGAGATGGAGACTGATAGCAATGCTGATCAAATAAAATTGATTGATGTGAAAATACTCTGAACTCTAAAATTCCCAAATCAATGTCAGTCACACTATATTAATAGACATCCTGTAGACTTTTATAATGGATTTTTTTCCACCATCTGTCTCAATATTGTCTAGTTAAGAGCAAGGTAAGTGTTTACCAGATGTCTGTGTTTCCCAAATCAGTATTTTGCACAGCTCTTACAGGCTTTGTGTGTTAGAAGTGCATAATTAAGTTATTTTAAAATCTAGAGAAATCCATTGCAGTGCACTTGTCTGCTACCAGCTGATTTGCCAAAAGCCCTGCCTGGAGAGTGCTGATGTTGATTGTCAAAGATTATAGATATGATCCCAATATAAGTAAGGAGATCGTTAAGCCAAGAGGTGTGTTATGCATCCTAGCAACATGGGAAACATCACAGTGTCTGAGATAATGGTTGTTAAGATTCTTTAAAATGCTACTTCTTGGGGGAATAAAAAGAAGGAAAAAAGGAAGAAAAACTTCCTATCCTGTTTGCCTGATTCACTGGCAGAAAACTGCCAAAATAATGTGTATCAAACTAGCCTATCACTACAGCAATATGATCAATTTTATGTGGCATAAATCTGTGCTGTCACTCCCATGGTGGTGCTGGCTGCTCTGTTTTGCCCATGACACTTGTGTCAGCACTTCCACTTGTGTTGCTGCATGGTGATCAGGACCAGGAAACTGCTCCAAGAGAGAAGAGAGCAAAATTAGAAAGCTTAATGTTCAGCTCTACCAATCCTAGTTCTGGTTTGCTGTGCACCTGGAGTGTACTACTAGAGTGTTGGCAAAAGGGAAGGGACAAAGGGAGGGTGGGTCTGCTCTTTTGGGAGGAACAAACATGTTGGATTGGTCATGAATGTACAGCGTATGCTTTCAAAGATGTTCCTCATCCTCAGCTGATGGTTACATGTGCCACAATACTAGTCAATGTACTGACTTTAATCGCTTAGTCTGGCTGCCTTAGTAACATGTGGCACATGACTAGTCCTAATTAGGTATTCAAGAAAGATTTTTACTGAAAATCACTAATAAAAGGGAAAAGTAAGTCAGTAGGCGTGGCATGCACATTTACATTCTATACGTAGGGATATAGTAAAAAAAGTTTAATGAATTCTGTGATTGGTTTCCAAGATGTACACCTCTCCTATTGAAAATGGTGCTTTTCTACTAAAAGGTCTATTGCCAAGGTACTTTTAGAGCATGAACTGTGAAAAGCTGTTTTTTTTTTCCCCTTTCCTCCCCTTCTCTTTGCTCATTAGTTCTGAAGAGCTAGCAAAACTGTGAAAGAGCTGCTTTCTACTTTTTTGTACCTGATTGCCTATTTTCTAGGTGCTCACACCTTTATGGCCCAGTGGAGGTAATTAGGTTATTTGTAGAGTTGTCAAGTATGTGCTTTCTACTTCAGATTGTTTATTTTAAGAAGCAGGCATGGTTCTGTGTGTGATGTGCCTTGATTTTTCAGAGCCACAGAACAGTTTGTGGGGTTGGTGGTCAATCTCATACAATATTCTAACATACAGACATGCATGTATGGCATGTGTGGAGCCTCATACGTTTTCATTTCTGATACACCCCTCCTCAGGACAGGAGTTTAGCGACCATCTCACAGCTTAGTTTTGCTGGGGCTATAGAGGAGAGGAAGGTGCCTAGAGGTGAGGAAGCTGTGAGCCACTTGTTTTATGAGGGTCAGTGCCTGCTGCAGAAAGCAGAGCTCTTTGGCTCCACAGCAGTATGTGGAACTATCCTTGTCCTGTCCAGAGCAGTAATGAATGTTTTCCATTCCTCTCTGTTATTCTTCCACACTCTTCCACTTAGCAGCATTGACAACTGTGCTGATGTACCTCCTAAGCCAACATCTTAATTTTTTTTCATGAACCATCTCTTTTGCTTAGTGTATTATAACCATTTAATGTGCTATGTCTGCACTCACTGTGCGTTTCCTATAGGAGTCTCATGCTGCTGTTTGATTATAGAGTGATGCTCTGTTGCCTGTTTGATTGCCAACCTTGAGAGGAAGAAATCAGAAATGGAAAACAATGAGTCCAGAAATGACTAGCATGCCCACATTGAAAATTGAGAATAGTGCTGTGTTCTGACAAGCAAATGAGTTTCAATAAAATATTTGCTCTAGACGGCTGTTTGGTGATATCTCACATTCTATGTTTAAATGTTTATGAAGAACTTGCTTCAGAAATTCCCCTGTTTCTCAACCCGAAGTTCAATAGTTTTCTCTCTTGCACTCTACCACTGAGTACCTCTCTCACGAGTGTTATCTAAGAGGTATTGGAGTTGATATTTGGATTACACTAATGGTCATTTTGAGCTTTGTTGGCTATTTTTGTGAATTTGTTTCACTGTAGTTTTTCAGAAGTGATGTTCAGCATTGCAGCATCATGAGCAAGATTTTAACCTATAAGTTTGCTACCTATGCAGACTGTGGCAGTGCTTGTTTGCTGGACTTGTGTCTGTCCCTGGCAACGGGAGGGATGTAACAACATTTTTACTGAGTTAAACTGTCCGCTCTGTTATTTGGTTGGTTGTTCTTATACAGCCTTTACAAACTAATACCTGCTGTTAAGGCTGATAACAGATGTTTCGTGTAGGATATGTATCTGCATGATAGGCACCTTTTGAGGTGATGAAATTGATGACAAAGAGCCGACTTTTTTCATACTTTTGTGGTAGTCCTTTGATATTTTCTTTCTTAATCGATCCCTTTCATGGGTAGTGTTATGCTGCAGCAGACTGTATGTACAGCAAATTAGTGTCTCCCATCTCTGTTTGCTTCTGCTGATAAACTTCCCTTTGCAGGTACTCTGGATATCCTACACTTCCATTAGTGGGGCTTCTCTTTCC